TATTATAAGGGCTAAAGTTGACAGCTAAGCAACCATCACAAAATTGGAAGGGGAAAATAAGACCAAATAAAGTAGAAGGAAGCTAATAATAGGGATGGAAGGAAATGCAGAACACAAAGACACAGTGGAGAATCAAAAAAGCCAAAAACTAATTCTTTGTAAAGATCAATACAATTGAAAAACCTCTGTGAGACTAATTAAGAAAGCAGAGGAGGCATTGACTAATACCAAGAATGAAAAGAGGGCATCAATACAAATCCTGCAACATTAATAAACTCCTAACACATCAATTACTTTATAGAAATAACATTTAAAATGCAGATGGACATATTCCTAGAAATACAACTCTTTAAAATGGAGACAATACAATAAAAATCTGAGTATTACTCTAGCTGTTAATGAAATCCACACCTCAAAGAAAATATCTGATATATGTCACTGCCCAAATTCTTATCAAATTTTTAAGTAAGAAATAATGACAATAATGACAATCTTACCTGTGTTATAAGGTCAGAGAATCTTGGTAACAAAGCCTGACACAGACCTTAAAAGAAATTTATGGGCCAATCCCATTGATAAAATAGATGTAAAAATCCCAAATGAAATACTGGTAAATGAAATCCTGCAATATATTAAAATACATCATAATCAAATTGGGCTCATTCCAGGAATGTAAACTTTAGTTTAAAATGTGGAAATCGGGGTGCCTGGCTCAGTCGGTTGGGCGTCCAACTTCGGCTCAGGTCATGATCTCACGGTCCGTGAGTTCGAGCCCCGCGTTAGGCTCTGTGCTGACAGCTTAGAGCCTGAAGCCACTTCAGATTCTGTGTCTTCCTCTCTCTCTGACCCTCCCCCGTTCATGCTCTGTCTCTCTCTGTCTCAAAAATAAATACAAATTAAAAAAAATTTTTTTTAATGTGGAAATCAATTGATATAACTTACCAAATGAGAAAAACCTTAGCAAAATGCAGGAAAGTAATTAAACTCAGCATCCTTTCATGATTTAAAAAAAAAAAAAAAATCCCTTGGGAATTGAAGCACGCTTCATTAATCTGGTAAAAGATCCAGATTCCAGAGCATAAACCATACTGAATATTGAAATCTTTCCCTTTGGGGCGCCTGGGTCGCTCAGTCAGTTGAGCATCCGACTTCGGCTCAGGTCATGATCTCTCAAGTCAGTGAGTTCAAGTCCCGCATCGGGCTCTGTGCTGACAGCTCAGAGCCTGGAGCCTGCTTCGGATTCTGTGTCTCCCTCTCTCTCTGCCCCTCCCCCACTTGTGCTCTGTCTCTGTCTCTGAAAAATAAATAAATGTAAAAAAATAAAATAAAAAAAAAAACCTTTCCCTTTGAGATCAGTAAAAAGAGTGAATATTGCTTCTGTTCAACATTTTATGGCAATTTCTAAACAGTGCAGAAGGTCAAGAAAAAGAAAAAATGTTGAAGGGAATTGAAAGGAAGAAAGAAAACTTTATTTGCAGAACATATATGCAAACTCAAAGTAAGTTCTACAAATAGAATTAAAAAGAATGTTTAGTATGTCTGCTAAATGCAAACATCAATTGTATGCCTACTGATTGCTCCGAAACTTGTTAAAGCTTTACTGAAATACAGGTTGCTTGGTGGTGCGTGGGTGGCTCAGTTGGTTAAGCATCGGACTCTTGATTTCGGCTCAGGTCATGGTCCCACAATTTGTGAGACCGAGCCCTGGGTTGGGCTCTGTGCTAACAGTGTGGAACCTGCTTGGGATTCTCTCTCACCTTTTTGCCCCTCCTCTCTCTCTCTCTCTCTCTCTCTCTCTCTCTCTCTCTCTCTCTCTCTCAAATATAATACAGGTTGCTGGATTCCATCTCCAGTCCAGAGGTTCTGATTCAGCAGGTCTTGTGGAGGGAAGGGAAGTCCTCAAGAATTTGTAGTTGTAAGCAGCTCCCAGGCAATGTGAATACTTCTAGTCAGGGGACCCCATGTGGAAAACCACTGCTATAGATTAGCAACAATGAAACTTAAAATCACTTACCCAGAAATCTAACAAAAGATATATAAGACTACATAGAAAAGTATAAATCATCGTGGACATAAATTAAAGAGGATCTAAATGAAGGATACTCCATTGTCATAGATTGGAAGAGTCAATATTCTGAAAGATGTGAATTTGCCTCAAGCTAATCTACAATTTAATGCAATGCCATTCAAAATTTCCACAGGTTTCTTTTTGTAGATCTCAAGCAGATTCTGAAATATGAATTGAGGCATCATTGATAACTGTGAGGAAAAAGCATGGATACTTAAGAAAGAGTCTCTGAGTTTGAATACTGGCTCCTACTTTGTGACTATGGTGAAATCACCTAATTTTCTGTGCCTCAGTTTTCTCATCTGTAAAGCAGGGAAGAACACGTGTACCCATATGGAGGTTGTTACAAAGATTAAACACATACAGTTTAGATGCATGCCTAGCTCACACCACATGCTATGTATGAATATGATAAATAAGTTTAAAAAAATAAAAAGAGGGAGATGAAATCTACTGGGTATCTTCTAGAGTCCAGTAATATCTCCTGCATATATGGACACTTGGGTTATGACAAAAGTGGATCTATAGAACAGTGGGGAAAGGATCCCAATAAAAGAAACTAGGGCAACTTGGTGCCCCTATAAGAAAAACATTTCACGCTATATACAAAAAGCAATCTCAGATACATTATAGACCTGAATGGAATAGGTTTTAAAAAAGTTTTTAGAGGATAATCCAGGAGAATATCTTCATGACCTTACAGGAGGGAAAAACCTATACAAGGGATATCAATCATAAGGGAAAATAAATTTTACATTAAAATTAAGATCATAGCTATGAGAAGAAACATTGAGAATGAGAAAGTCACATGCTGAGTGGCAAAGAAATTTTCAAAATGTGACCGACAAGAGGCTTGCATATGAAACACACACAGAATTTCACATAACAAAAAACAAAAAGCAAAATTAAAAAAAAAACCTCATTAAAACAAACAAGAACTCAAATGGTAGGTATCTAAAATTAATAAATGGACAAAGGAATTAAGCAGGTACTTCACAAAGGAGAAAACCCAATGAACAAAAATATGAAAAAGCAATTTAATCTCATTACCAATCAAGGAATGCAAATTTCTTCACCTCACACATTAGAATGGCTAAAATTTTAAAAATATTGGCTAACTGGGTACTGGTGAGAATATGGAACAATAAGAATTAAGTACTGGAGGAAGAATAAAGTTGGCACACCACTTAATTAGCATTACTTAGTCAAAATAAAGATAGGCATAATCCTATGACCAATTAATTTTAATCTTAAGTATATACATTGAAATATATACATCCATGAATCAGCAGATAAACTGTAATTACCATAGCAGCATTATTTAATTGTAATAGCCTCAAACTAGAAACCACCTGTATGTGTCCCAACAGTAGAAAAGATTTATAAATTATAGGATACCTCTAAGATGGAATGTTGTGCAGTGATAATGAATTATGCAACCACTTGGCTGAATCTTCAAAACATAATGTTGAGCAAAAGAAGCGCAACCCACTAAGTAGGCAGCATAATTGTAAAGTAAGGAAATAAGATGATTGCTCTCAAAGAAGAGACAGTGATTACCTTGGCAGAGAGGAGGGGGTCCTGACCAAGAAGGGGGACTGGTAGGGATTCTGAAGTGTCGGTAGTGTTCCTTCTTGACCTATCTGATGGCTATCTGGGTGTCTGCTCTAGAATATGCTAATGCTATTTATATGCCTTATTGCTTTATATACTTTATGTGCCATTTCTCACACTAAAAAAAGATACAGAAAAGTAAGGAGTTTCAAAGGGCAGACTTTTCTGAGTGGTAAACCTGGGCTTTATTAAAAGTGGGTTAAAAGTGAGTTCCAAAAATCCATTAGTTACACATTTTAGAGCAGGAATAACCCAGACGGTGATATCGGATACTTTTCCAATCATCAGACAAGGGGATAAAACTGCCACAGATACTGAAAGAGGAAGAGGCTCCAGGATGACACGACTGTTGTTTAGATCCCAGCTGGAGCTGGACAAGTGCAGCATTCTGGAGCGGAGGAAGGAGAAGAGGCAGGGGCAAAGAAACAACTACTGAGCCTGTTAGTGCATCCTGTTTTTCCACACACCTAGGACTTTACAACATGCTGTACCTTCCTGCTTAGTCTCACCTATCGCCCCTTCACCTAGCTTCTGTCTGTCCTTGGAAGACTCAGCTCAGACACCCTCTGATCCAAGAGACCTCAGCCCTTGCCCCCTCCTTTTTAAAAGCTGCCCACCCCCCACAGTCAGGGTCACATGGCAGGTACCTCCCTGCTCTCCTTCCCACAGTCTTTCTCCTTCTACAGACAAGTGACCTCTGCATTACAGGCTGCCTGGCAGGTCTGGTGCTGAGAGTCAGGGCCATGGGCTGGACAAGGCAGAACTGAGAATACACTGAAGGACTTCCTCAGTCAGGAGACAGGGATAGAGCTCTGGAAGGGGCTTTCCTTCTCTGAGATTCCTCCCTTTAGTGGCCTTCAAGTAGTAGAAGCAGGGAAAGAAATGAGTTTGCCTCTAAATTGGGACTCAGCATACGTTCCCATTCACCGTCTTAACCTAGCCTCTCACCACCATACAGAAGTGAGTAGGGCAGTTATTATCAGTCCCATTTCACACACTAGGAAGCTCAGACCCTGAGAAATAAAATACCTTACTCAAGGGTCACAGAGGCAGAGCTGGATTGCAAGTATTGGTCTCTACAGCCCAGAGTCTGCCTATAGATATACTAGGTTAATACTCCGAAATTACCTGTTCAACAAAGCCATCCTTTGTCTTCCCAGACCCAGGCAGACACAGATGCTGCCCTCAAGTATGGAAATGTATAGGGTAAAGCAATGTCTTGGATAAACTTGGGGAAGGACCAAAAGACAAGGAGCCAAAAGTTTTGGGCTAAGATTTATTGTTGACCAGAGCACTAAACAGGCAAGGTAATGGGTAACGAGACCCCATGCAACAAGCTGACCCTGCAGCCCAGACTTCTTGGTTAGCTATCCTCTGCCTTCCACCTCCCCTCTCTGGCTCTGACAGAGCCCCTGAGAATCAGAAATATGCAATCCAGGAAGTATGTGGGGAGCACCTGTTACGAATGGTTGGCAGCTACAGAGGGCTACTGTGTCATAGTGTCCTGGCTATCTTTGAGGGCTTATGGCAGAGATGGTGGAGGGGGAGTACAGAGTCATCCTGGGCTCACACCCAGGACTGTTTATTTCTCTTTCTTACTCTTGACATTCACATTCATTGTGAATATATGTATTTTTTAAACCAAGGTTCCGTGTAGGGTGAGGAGACCCCTCTGGAAGCAGTGGGGCCCACTTCCAGCTGGCAACATTCACCAGTTTCCAAACTCCTGACCTGCAACCTAGTGCATGTAATGGTAGACTGCTACCGGACAAAGAGCCTTGAACAAATCTATCCTTCACAGTCCTATTCCTGGAACTCTCACTGAGTTTGGACCAGCCCTGAATGGTCAGTTTAGAGGTCAATCTCCATCCTCGGCTGACTTACTTCTAAGAAACTATGACTTCCCCTGAACATCTGCCCCATGGAAGAGAGCTACAAAGTGGCCACAGTCTGGCCTTGGCTTGGGTACTGAGTAACTGAACAGGCATTCTCCCCAACCTCAGGGTACCTCACAAAGGTATGGAAACTTGATGAGCCTCAGGCACCAACTAAGGTCCAAGAGGCTTCCCACACTGCCTGTTGGGGCTGGGAAGCAGAGGTAGAAGTCAAGAGAAGAGACCATGAGCCTCAGCCTATTCCTCAGATTGATTTGTCCCTTAACTTGGCCATTTCTTAGAGTCCCAGTGCCAAGATCTAAAGGCCTGTGCTGTCCATAAAGAAGCAGCCCACAAATCCCAAGAGCAGCTGAAACCAGCTCACCCATTTATTTGACTGAGAACATGAAGGAGGACAACAAAATTAAACAATCTTTAATAAAATTCCTATAGAAAACTCAGTCACAGGGCAAATAATCAGTTCTCTTTCTCATGTCACTGAGGATTGAGAGCTCCCAAAAGTCTTTGGAGAAAAAGCAGTAGTTTTGATGGATATTGCCAGTACTCAGAAAGAGCATCCATTTACACATTCAAACCAGTAGTTCTTATTGCACATATTAACATTATTTGCCATCTAGCACCCTAAAGATATGGTACCTCAACAAATAAATTAAAGAATTCCATGTGGCATGAAACCATTTCAATTTGAGCTAATATCCTTGAAAAAAATCACATTATTACAAGTTTTAATAAATACAGTAAGAACAGCTGGCATTTTACTAAAATACTGAATTTTAGGTGTGGAGATGATTCCATAAATAGTTTCCTTTTCATTTGCTTTCTGTCTTGGATGCATTTGCTCAAGTATTATGCTCTATGAAATGAACTCTTTCATAGAAACCATGTAAAAACTGAAAGTATTATGTGCCTCATTACAGAAGCAACTGGAAGAACTGGATCACATAGTTAACTAAAAAAAGTAACTTAGGAAAAAGCTCTTCTTTTTGTAAAACTTTAAAACACAGACTGAAAAAAAAAACAAAGAAATGTCTTTTTATATAGAACTTCCACTAGAAATTTTATAAATATATATGCAACATATATATTATATTTGCCTCACCAGCAGGTCTTCAGCAAGCCTGCTAGAAATGATGCTGTCCTGGTAGATAAATATCAACAAAAGAATTAATGTTTCCATAGATTTAGAGATTTCTTTTGAAAAAAAAAAAAAAAACATAATTTCAAATTATGTTATAATTTGTAGTTTACACAATTTAAAAGGGGAAGAAAGATACCTTTCTTTTAAGCTTCATTTGGAAAATAAGAACAACTACCAGTGCCCAGGAGTGGATAAGTCGGCTGAGTGATAACACTTGGTCACAATACAAAAAGAAGTATTTACACCTTTCTGGAAAAGTACCAAATACTTAAAAAAAAAAAAGAAGAAGAAGAAGAAGAAGAAGAAGAAGAAGAAGAAGACGACGACGACGACGACAACGACAGAAAACAATCTCTAGTAGCATTCCTCGGCGTGCAAAGTCAGCAGGAAATGATTATCCATAATGTTGAGAGTTTTCATGATGAATCTTGGAAGCATTCAATGAAGCAGAGGGTGGTCATCAGGAACTGTGCAGATTAGGTTCTGTGGGATGCCTTGTTCTTAATTTAAATGAGTTCTAGGATTTCATTCCCTTTAAAACATCTCCGGCAGGGTCATGTTCAATTTAGTGCAAGTGCAAAATGAAAACTAAACAAAACCAACAAATACATTAGGAGCAAAGGCTGATCATTAAGATCTGTAGTCTTTCCGAACTGTGTGGGCCATCCAGTTCACTTTAGTAGTCCAGCTTTCCCTGAGTGCCTCATCAAATTTTTGCTTAAATTGCTTAAGCGCTTCTTCTTCACTCTTTCCTAAGGCAAGAGAGTCCTAAAAATGAAAGGAAAAAATCTGATCGTATACATCCTCCATAGTGACATGCAAATGTTGAAATCTCGGCCATGCCTCCCCAGCCATCACGAAGCTGTGTGCTTCATGTTCTCACAAGAGAATTACTCAGCTTCTTGTCACTACCACTCCTGGGCAGGAACAGTTTCACAGGAAATGGCTCTGTTCCATTCCCTTTGAACATGTGAATGAAATAGGCAGGTACAGCTGAACTTCATGCCTACAAACTCCAATATACAAAGAAAAGGGTTTTGTACCTTAAGATACTGTATATCCTTGACTGATGTGAGCTCAGGAAGCCCTGCAGTCAACATCAGTGCAAAAAGAGTGATGAAGAGATTCCCGTGACGTCGTAAAATCAGATATGCATCCTCACAACACTGGCGGAAACTTGAGTTGATACAAGAAATCACAAGAACATGATGTTAGAGGAGAGAGAGCAAATTTCACAAAGGAAAACAAGACAGACATATCTAGACTTTCCATAACAGCTAGAAGTTTTCTCTGAACTAAAGGTTCATTTCTGATTTTTAAAACTCTTTGAAAATTGGCCCAAGAATAAAATTTACATAGAATGTCTAAAATCACACGTATCTTTTCAAAAACCCAACTAAATTGAAATTCTAATAAAAGGCTATATAACATTTACTCTGTGCTTTTTAATTCTATGAGACCTAAAAGCTGTTACAAAACAAATGGTAATTATAACCTGTGAGGATTTCTGAACATATTTCTAGACTCCAGATTTGTAGTCTAACTCCAGAGACTAGTTTGATTTTCCCCAAGTCAGTATCAATGCTTTTGCACTACACCTCCCTATCATCTTGTTTAAAGACAATTATTCAAGAGAATCATCCGATGCTATCTCCCTAATTTTGCCAAAAAGAAAAATGAACCCAGATACATATTCTGCAGAAACTCAGGCAGAAATAGAAATAATAGCAATCATTTGGCAAGCACATAGTATGAGTTGGTCATATCATATAACTTTAATTATCATAATAGCCCTAAAATTTATTTTTGTCTCTATTTTATTTATTTATATTTTTGTGAGTGAGAGACAGAGAGAGAGGTGCAGAGCGGGAGAGAGAATCCGCTGACAGCATGGAGCCGGACGTGGGGCTCAATCTCATGACTGTGAGATCATGACCTGAGCCAAAATCAAGAGTTGGACACTTAACTGACTAAGCCACCCAGGCGCCCTATGTCCCTATTTTAAGGTGAAGAAACAAAGACAAGAAGAAACATATAAGTAGTGAGGACTAGACCAGAGATTACAAAGTCCTGAGCCCTGGCTCCCTTAGAATGAGAGCAAAATGGCTGCCTCTCTCAGCATCTTATTATGAAATGTCTTAACAGTTTCAGAAAATTCTCTAAGACAGGTAAAAAGTGGTATACTCTTAGAATAAAACATAGTAGCTTATTTCAAATTTCTAGATTCTATTTCCCCTCTCTACACCAGAACATGGATCTGACAGGCAAATTCCCCCAAAGCCTCCCAGGTAGCAGTCTGTTTCCCTGAACTAAATATATCTCAACTAAGAAATGCCAGTCTAGCTAGTCAGATGAGAAAATGTCAGATGTTTATCCATGACATGAGGGCAATACTCACCGGCCAAATTTTTCTGTGTTTCCTGTTTTTCCTTGTTGAATCACATGAATGAAATCATAGGTAAGAATAAAAGGCACTCGTTCCCTTTTAATGCCAAATTTAGACTTGAAATTTCCAAGAATATGTCCAAAGTCAATGTGGAAGAGCTGGGAAACAAATGGGATTTAATTTCTCTGGTTCCAAATAGAAAGGCAAGATCTCAGCAGTCCTAGACCCCCAATACTACACTGATCCTCAACTTTTCTTGATGTATAGTTTCCCTCTCTTTTCTCTCTCTTTTCATTGACATATAGTTGATAAATAGTACTGTATTAGTTTCAGGTATACAACAGTGATTTAACAATTATTATAAAATGTTCATGAGCCCTTCTCTCTTTTCAAAAGCAAGAGGTCACATGGGAAGAGTGTTTCTAAAATGCATAGATCTTTATTCTTAATAACAACCTGGACCTAATACTAAACCACATTTACTCAGTGGGAAACACAAATCTTTAAAAAGGAAAATACACCCAAATAATAAACATGTCTGATTTTAAAAAGTCAAATGGTTCCACATATTAAACGATTTCAGTCAATATTTCTACATACAAAAACAAAAAAGAGAGTACATTCTTGCCCCACCAACCCCTCAACACCTTGAGTGCTACCACTTGGAGGTAACTTCTCCCCAATCTTTCATGTGATTTTCTTCCATTTTCAAAAATGGTATGTTTACTCTTATTTTTTACTTCCTAATTTTGAATTACTATTTTTATGATGGAAGGTAAAGATTTAGTACTCTGTGCTGATGCAATGCTATACAATGAGGCATATTATATCACAGTTTCAGGCTATATAAATACATTTCGAAGCTAAGGCATGTGGCAATGGTATATACTATGACTAAATTTTCTTTTTTGCCCATATTTTTCCTTGGCAAAGTTTTTTTTTGGGGGGGGGGGGCTTAGTGTCCTATGTCCTTATCACTAATTCTTCCCCAGATCTTATATTGAAAGAATAGGGTCATTCTGAATAACTGCAATTGACTTTTCAAACATTAAAGGCTTATCACCTAACTTTGAGCAAATACACCAATGAATATATGAAGCAGATGGTATGTGAAATAAAGGATGGAGAAATAAAGGAAAGCACAAAGACATGACTCCCAAAATCACTAAAGAACCTGCCTGAATTTCACAAGAGACTGTGCTGTATGTAACAGCATCACCAAGGCCCCTGGCAGACTCTGGGGAGCAGCTCACCTGGCCGGTTTTCTTGACCATGATGTTGTCACTATGTCTATCACCAATCCCAAGGACATAAGAAGCTACACAGTAGCCGGCACAGGACAAGGTAAACTCTTCAATGGCTCGGTCTAGGTCATCCCTGAATACAAGAGAGAGAGAGAGGAAAAAAAAAAAAGAAGCAACAAAGGTTTTCAGTCTCTAAAAGTATGAGATGAGACCCAATTCACACTTCTGTTTCCTTTTTAATTGTGAATAGAAAGGCAACACAGAGCTGCCAAAACCCTATGAGCCAAACATGCTGGATCAGCGGAGAGAGGGAGGGTGATCACTGCAGGAGCAGGGCAGAGAAGAATCAGCAGGAACCAGATAATGGACCTAAGCCATTCAAACTGCTGTGTTTCCCTGGGCTTGGGAGTAGCTTCATATCTGTAATTATACAAGGTCACCATCAGCTTTGCTCAATGATGCTGGGCATTTGAACCTTTTTTGGTCAGTTTGACCTAACACTAGAATTCCATATTAAAAAGTTAACTATTAAATTTTCAACAGTTCAAGTCACTGACTCAAATTAGAAGTTAGGAATACAGATCCTTTAGAGACAAGGTTTTAAGATCAAAATCTGAAAACTAATTCTCACATACCAGTCCTTCGATTTTGCCAATGATGAAATGTAAGTCCACCTTTGAAGTCTTTAGCCAAAAATATTTATAGTGTTTTCCCTCACTGTGAAATTCCTTAATTGCCTATGATCAGGACTTTTCCAACAGAGTAACCATTAATAACACAGTTCCTAGCATTGTATTTTTTAATTTGGAGAGATCACAGTCTACAAACTCATTTACTTCTATTGTAAAAATCCTCTGAAAACTTACCTAAGTTCATACATACATTCACGTAATTACAGAAGTTGACACATTTAAAAAAATTATTTTTAAAAATGATAAATTCTTAGATTGTAACTACTACAAGGCTTTGAAATGTGATCTAGATAAAGTAGAATTTAATGCTAACCATCTTTAGGAAGACTTTAGGAAGGCCTATCTGTCACTGATCTAACCTGAAATAAAGCAATAAATAACACTACCATTTCCTCTAGGACACTGCTGATTCTACTTGGAAGAATAGTGATTTGTTTGGCTGTTTGTTTGTTCAGAAGAATGATAAACAAACTGACCCAGAGTTGTATTCTTTAAGCCAGTTCAGAAGGGCGTCTTTGTTGAAGGCTGCTGCTGCAGCCACATTGCTACTGTTCAGCTGAATGTCAGCAATTGTTTCAGAGGTGCTCACAACTTCGATGAGGCCAGAGCGGTCTCCTGTTGCTAAACAGCCATAAGGCAGCATCCTGAAAGGGAAAAAAATGGGCATAGTCACATGTGTATGTTATCCATAAAATGAAACATTAATAGAGGAAGTTTCTTCTTTGATGTTTTTAAAAGTTTTATTACTATTGATACCTTTGCCATTTTTCTACTATTGTCATGTGGAAAAATACAAGTTCTATTTTCTGTTAGGGAGTAAATCTCTTGGCCAACAAATGGAGTAATTTACTAGAATGCCAATGTACTAGCTAAATGTATAATTTGTTATCTAGTTATTCTGGTGAAATATTCTACTTTTTTATGTAGATGGACAGAAGCGTATCAGAAAAAGGTTTTTGGGGCACCTGGCTGACTCAGTCCTAAGAGTGCAACTCTTGATCTCAGGGTCATGAGTTCTAGTTCCATGTAGTGTGTAGAGATTACTTACATAAATTTTTTAAACCTTAAAAAAAAAGTCTTTCGTTTTTACTCTAAATTTTGGTGAAAGGAATCACCCTTTATGGAGCACATAACAAACAGGTGCCACGCAATGGGCTAGGCACTTTACACATTACCTTGCTTAATGAATGGCAACTCCATCCTTCTAGTTGTTCAAACCCACAACCTTAAGGTCAACTTTGACTCTTCATCTCATGCCCAGCATTTACCTGTCTTGAAAATGTGTAAAGTACTTCTCTGCCTCCACTCTTCCTTCTGCTTCTACCATAGACCAAGCCACTATCAACCCTTACTCAATTATTCAAGTTTCCTTATTAGTCTGCTTCCACATCATAGTCTGTTTTAAATGCAACAGCAATACAGGGGTGCCTGGGTGGCTCAGTCGGTTAAGTCTGAGTCAGTCTGACATCAGCTCAGGTCATGATCTCATGATTTATGAGTTCCAGCCCTGCATCAGGCTCTATGCTGACAGCTCAGAGCATGGAGCCTGCTTCAAATTCTGCATCTCCCTCTCTCTCAGGCACTCCCCAACTCTTGCACTCTCTCACTTTCTGTCTCTCAAAAATGAATAAACATTAAAAAAAAAATGCAACAGCAATATAATCCATTTTATCTATTTTTCAATATATGAAATTTATTGTCAAATTGGTTTCCATACAACACCCAGTGCTCATCCCAAAAGATGCCTTCTTCAATACCCATCACTAATCCATTTTAAAAGTATGCATGTTATGTCACTCCACGTTAATTTCTGCAAAGGCTTCCCACCTTAGGGTGAAAGCCGACATGTTTGCCTAGTTCACAAAGCCAGACTTCAATCTGGTCCCACTTCACCTCTCCTAGTATCCTCCCTCTTGCTCACTTTATCCCTACTACACCAGCTTCCTTGCTATTCCTCAAGCAGATCAGGCATAATATTCCCTCATTCCTTTACATGTGTTATTTTCTTTGCCTAGCACACCTTTCCCTAAGACTTCTACATGATTTACTTCTTTACCCAAGACATCTACATGACCCTCTTTGACACCTTTGCTGAAATGTTACTGTCTCTGAGAAATTCCTGATCATCCTATCTGAAATTGTGACACTGTCTGTGACATAATACTTACTATCTCTTCCCCACTTTATTTCCTCTTTAGCCTTCAACACAATCCAAACATCTTGTACATTTTATTTATGTGTTTGCTTACAGTCTCTCTCTCTACCACTAGGATGAAAGTTCTACCAGGCAGGGATGTTTTTTTCCCTGCTATATCCCCAGTGCCTGACAATGTGCCTAGCACAAAGTAGACACTCAATAAATTTTAAAAAAATTTTTTAATTTTTATTTTTGAGAGAGAGAAGCAGGGGAGGGGCAGAGAGAGAGAGAAGGAGACACAGAATCTGAAGCAGGCTCCAGGCCCTGAGCTGTCAGCACAGAGCCCATTGTGGGCCGTGAACTCACAAGCTGTGAGATCATGACCTGAGCCGAAATCAGACGCTTAACAGAATGAGTCACCCAGGCGCCCCTAAATATTTTTGAATGAATAGACAAATTTAATAATAAAAATCCTTGTAAGGTAAGATCTCAATTTTACAAATGAGAAACAAAAGTAACTTGGAAAAGGTCACATATTTAACTAAGTCTAAGATCTAAAACAAGTCTGTGTGGCTCTAAAACTCTCTTTATAACTTAACACAGTCTCTAGAATCACTGACCGTGTAACAGCCCTCTCCAGCTGTTCTTGTTAAAATAATTTTTGCTAAATCGATAGGTAGCACTTTGCTTTGAATTTCATTTATATGATCCCTAATGAAAATAAACATTTTCTCAGGTCTCTTTTAGCCATTGTTTAAAAAATGTTTGTTTGTTTATTTATTTTAAGAGAGTGAGCACGTGCATGAGTGGGGGAGAGACAGAGAGAGGGAGAGAGAGAATCTCAAGCAGGTTCTGCATTGTCAGTGCGGAGCCCTATGCAGGGCTCAATCTTGTGAACTGTGAGATCATGACCTGAACAGAAATCAAGAGTCAGACACTTAACCAACGGAACCACCCAGGTGCACTTCTTTTAGTCATTTAAAAATAATTTCTTTTGTGAACTGAGTATTTACATTCTTTCCCTATTTATTAGGGTTTTAAATATTTTCGTTAGTGATACATAGGACATCTTTACATATTAACATTATCCTTTTCTTCTTTTGGCTGTAAACATCTTCTCCAGTTTTGTAAAAACTGTATTACCATTACAGCAACTCCAAAATGGAATGTGATACCTTGGGAAGTTCAAATAAAAGGTGACTAGAGAAAATGCAATGGATGAAATTCATGGACTCAATTAATATATGGGTACAGCTAAGTGCCAAGCATTGTTTGCTGCTGGTGACACAAAAAGGAGCAAAAAAAAAAAAAAGCAGTCCTTGCTCTCACTGAGCAGACAAGGCACAAATGCACAATGTGCATGTGATCTCTGAATGAGAATTGCTATGAGAACATGTCGAGAGTTAAGCAGCATCTTGATGAGTAGGAAGGACAGCACAGCTAGAGGAAAATACAAGGAGGAGTGCAAAGGCAAGGTGAGAACCAGAAACCATCAGTGTTGGAAAGACTATGCAGGGCCCTATAGACCATGTAAGAACTTCTGTCATTCTGCTAAAGACACTCAGAAAGCTTTGAAGGACTTTATGAAAGAGGGGTGTGTGTGGGGGGGGGGGAGGCAGAGAATGTATGAATGTGTTACTGTGTCTAATAATCAGATAAAAGAGCCGATTTTAATAAACAGTCCCTAAATTTCGATACAACCAAGAATTCAATTATTTTATGCCTCTTCTAAGCACTTTCTTAGTTCAAACAAAGTAAGGTCGGGAACAGAATCACAAAACTACATGCTGGCAGTGTGATATACCAACAGACTGCTTTTCATCTGTTTTTGTTTTGTTTTGTTTTTGTTTTTGTTTTTGTTTCCTTTTAAAAAGTTACCTTTCAATAAGCAAAGTAGCTTGGAGCATGGAAGCTTTCCCAACACCCCTATTCTTATCATGACACAACACATGTGAGGCAAACACTCTGTGGTTTAACTGCACTTTGGCTCACTTTCCTGCTTCTCCTCCCACCTCACTTGCAGCCAAACTGGGCAAAAATCCAACAACTTCCTCTTCAAAAGCGTGCAATGATAAAAGCATTCAGTGTCTTGAGGATGAAACTCTCACAATGGGAAGGAAAAAACATCCTTGTCAGACAGACAGTTTGACAGAAGTCAGGCTGGGGACAAACTCTTAGAACCCTGATCATCTCACATGGGCCTGTTTTGCACTCAACTTTATAAAGGCCATAAGAACAACTGGTAAAGTTTCCCTTCCTTTCTCAGACTCTCTGATCCAAGGAGCACTTTGTTATCTTTCCACTAATCAAGAATTAAAATATAAATTCTACAGCTGAGGGGATGGCAGCCCCATAACCCTACTCTTAATGAGTATGTAGAAAGTTTTCTCGGGCTTTGACTCTGACATATTGACCCAATTTGAGTGGTGACTTAGCCCCTTGCCTCCAAAAGAGGAAAGTGTAATTCCTTTACCTAATGTTTGCATCGTTTCCATATTCTTCCCTAATCCTTCCAAGACTATTACCAGTGTCATTACAGAAGTGTTGATTAGCACTCTTAAAAGGGAAGTAAATCCCATTAATGTAACTCAGATGTAAAGTCACAATGAAGACAACTGTCCAAAATTCAGGGGGTGGTAGAAGACTATGAAATCTACCGAAGGCCAAATAGATTTACATACAGACAACCTAGGAGACTTGACAGAAGAGGCTGAATACCTATTATTTGGTGACTGAGGAGGTCAGAGTGTTCTAACATACTGATAGGCTTACAGATGTTCTAATTTAGTATAAAAAATATCAAGAGTATCTTTGGGACATCAGAGAAAAATGAAAATGAGAAATAGGCACTTTCATTCATGCTAACATGGCACTGTTACAAATACTAAACTATTCTGGTCAAAGTAATACAGCATAGAAGGTACCTGAAGATTTGAGATTGAATTTACAAGAGTGTGTGCTATGTGACCCAGCTTAACCTGAACAGCTGGCCAAAAGAAAACAAACAATAGGAACAGTGAAGCACGCATATTTATAGAAAGAGTAAAAAAAGTTTGGTGAGAAAATGGTATTCATTTGGAAATGAACCCTAAAGAATTAAAGTTCCACATATTTTAAAAACATGGGGTCAGAGTACAAAAAGTCAGCAGAGATCCCCCTGGACAGACAAGTTCCTTTTTCTTGTTAGATACTTGTTGCTTCCCATAAGAGAGACACTAGGTTTATTTCTAGCACTCCCACATGTGGTTTCCTCCCTTGGCCTGAGGTCACACAATGAATTTCATTTGATGCTATATGTATTTTACAGTTGAATAGAATGGGTAAAATAAAACAGCAAAGAGAAAAGAACTTGGTTGGGAATTTTTAATTAAGGCAATGGAAGGGAGACAGGGAAACCAAAGGGACTCGCAAAAGAAATAGCTCTTTTGTTCCCTTTGCTTTTTTTCCTGCTTCTCTTCTTACTAGGACCTGCACCCCGGCCCTACATATGCCTTAATGCGTGTCCTC